CACGATTATGTTATACCACGCTATCGTGTAGTGTTATACGAACCACGATTATGTTATACCACGCTATCGTGTAGTGTCATACGAACCACGATTATGTTATACCACGCTATCGTGTAGTGTCATACGAACCACGATTATGTTATACCTCGCTATCGTGTAGTGTCATACGAACCACGATTATGTTATACCATACGCTATCGTGTAGTGTCATACGAACCACGATTATGTTATACCACGCTATCGTGTAGTGTCATACGAACCACGATTATGTTATACCACGCTATCGTGTAGTGTTATACGAACCACGATTATGTTATACCACGCTATCGTGTAGTGTCATACGAACCACGATTATGTTATACCACGCTATCGTGTAGTGTCATGCGAACCACGATTATGTTATACCACGCTATCGTGTAGTGTCATACGAACCACGATTATGTTATACCACGCTATAGTGTAGTGTCATACGAACCACGATTATGTTATACCACGCTATCGTGTAGTGTCATACGAACCACGATTATGTTATACATCGCTATCGTGTAGTGTCATACGAACCACGATTATGTTATACCACGCTATCGTGTAGTGTCATACGAACCACGATTATGTTATACCACGCTATCGTGTAGTGTCATACGAACCACGATTATGTTATACCACGCTATCGTGTAGTGTCATACGAACCACGATTATGTTATACCACGCTATCGTGTAGTGTCATACGAACCACGATTATGTTATACCACGCTATCGTGTAGTGTCATACGAACCACGATTATGTTATACCACGCTATCGTGTAGTGTCATACGAACCACGATTATGTTATACCACGCTATCGTGTAGTGTCATACGAACCACGATTATGTTATACCACGCTATCGTGTAGTGTCATACGAACCACGATTATGTTATACCACGCTATCGTGTAGTGTCATACGAACCACGATTATGTTATACCACACTATCGTGTAGTGTCATACGAACCACGATTATGTTATACCTCGCTCTGGTGTAGTGTCATACGAACCACGATTATGTGCTGCGTGTAGTGTCATACCATGTTATACGCTATCGTGTAGTGTCATACGAACCACCGTGTAGTGTCATACGAACCACGATTATGTTATACCACGCTATCGTGTAGTGTCATACGAACCACGATTATGTTATACCGTGCTGCCGTGTAGTGTCGAACCACGATTATGTTATACCGTGCTGCCGTGTAGTGTCGAACCACGATTATGTTATACCGTGCTGCCGTGTAGTGTCATACGAACCACGATTATGTTATACCACGCTATCGTGTAGTGTCATACGAACCACGATTATGTTATACCAGTGTCATACGCTTATCGTGTAGTGTCATACGAACCACGATTATGTTATACCACCACGATTATGTTATACCACGCTATCGTGTAGTGTCATACGAACCTCGATTATGTTATACCACGCTATCGTGTAGTGTCATACGAACCACGATTATGTTATACCACGCTATCGTGTAGTGTCATACGAACCACGATTATGTTATACCACGCTATCGTGTAGTGTCATACGAACCACGATTATGTTATACCACGCTATCGTGTAGTGTCATACGAACCACGATTATGTTATACCACGCTATCGTGTAGTGTCATACGAACCACGATTATGTTATACCTCGCTATCGTGTAGTGTCATACGAACCACGATTATGTTATACCTCGCTCTCGTGTAGTGTCATACGAACCACGATTATGTTATACCACGCTATCGTGTAGTGTTATACGAACCACGATTATGTTATTATTATGTTATACCACGCTATCGTGTAGTGTCATACGAACCACGATTATGTTATACCACGCTATCGTGTAGTGTCATACCACGATTATGTTATACCACGCCATCGTGTAGTGTCATACGAACCACGATTATGTTATACCTCGCTCTCGTGTAGTGTCATACGAACCACGATTATGTTATACCTCGCTCTCGTGTAGTGTCATACGAACCACGATTATGTTATACGATTATGTGTACAACGATTATGTTATACCACGAGCTATTGTAGTGTCATACGAACCACGATTATGTTATACCACGCTATCGTGTAGTGTCATACGAACCACGATTATGTTATACCACGCTATCGTGTAGTGTCATACGAACCACGATTATGTTATACCACGCTATCGTGTAGTGTCATACGAACCACGATTATGTTATACCACGCTATCGTGTAGTGTCATACGAACCACGATTATGTTATACCACGCTATCGTGTAGTGTCATACGAACCACGATTATGTTATACCGTGCTGCCGTGTAGTGTCATACGAACCACGATTATGTTATACCCACGATTATGTTATACTATCGTGTAGTGTCATACGAACCACGATTATGTTATACCACGCTATAGTGTAGTGTCATACGAACCACGATTATGTTATACCACGCTATCGTGTAGTGTCATACGAACCACGATTATGTTATACCTCGCTCTCGTGTAGTGTCATACGAACCACGATTATGTTATACCACGCTATCGTGTAGTGTCATACGAACCACGATTATGTTATACCACGCTATCGTGTAGTGTCATACGAACCACGATTATGTTATACCACGCTATCGTGTAGTGTCATACGATTATGTTATACTATAGTGTAGTGTCATACGAACCACGATTATGTTATACCACGCTATCGTGTAGTGTCATACGAACCACGATTATGTTATACCACGCTATCGTGTAGTGTCATACGAACCACGATTATGTTATACCTCGCTATCGTGTAGTGTCATACGAACCACGATTATGTTATACCACGCTATCGTGTAGTGTCATACGAACCACGATTATGTTATACCACGCTATCGTGTAGTGTCATACGAACCACGATTATGTTATACCACGCTATCGTGTAGTGTCATACGAACCACGATTATGTTATACCACGCTATCGTGTAGTGTCATACGAACCACGATTATGTTATACCACGCTATCGTGTAGTGTCATACGAACCACGATTATGTTATACCACGCTATCGTGTAGTGTCATACGAACCACGATTATGTTATACCACGCTATCGTGTAGTGTCATACGAACCACGATTATGTTATACCACGCTATCGTGTAGTGTCATACGAACCACGATTATGTTATACCACGCTATCGTGTAGTGTCATACGAACCACGATTATGTTATACCACGCTATCGTGTAGTGTTATACGAACCACGATTATGTTATACCACGCTATCGTGTAGTGTCATACGAACCACGATTATGTTATACCGTGCTGCCGTGTAGTGTTATACGATAAGTATTTTATTTCTGACACAGTAAAAATTTGAGAGATACATATAGAAGTCTTGTTACACAGATTAGGTGTACTTTTTTAAAACGTAAATAAAGATATATTTCTTGAAGTTCACGAATATTTAAAGAATTCAAATCATTTCACTATTCTTTAAATAGGAACATCAACAATAGTAACAATAATGATATTGGTGTATATGTCAAAACACGACGATATCGCTATGATTTTCGCTTAAAATGGGTCCGTCTTGATAGGGTTGTCAGACGATGATTAAAATTGACCTACAGATCATGTGTTTATGAGGAGTGGTGCTACAGGCATTTGATTAGATAGAACATTTAAGGTTAGTTGTTAAATCATGTCGATTTCATTGTGCTTCGATAGTTACAGATTTATTATTAACAGAAGTGTATTATCATATTTTAAGCGTCATTATCATACTTAATAACATAAACCATGGGTGCCACACGAATCATTTCATCTGCTATTTCAATGTTCATTTTATCTATAAATCTATTATCATGATAATAAGCAACAGAGTATTTTGCTGTCATTTGTATCTCCTGTATGTATGTAATATGAGACTCGGAGGACGTTGATACGTTTTTAAACTTGTGTTTAATTCCGCCTGATTTCATAAAATTAGATATGTGTACCTAAACTAAAACCTATTTGCTGCCTACACGCTGCACATACGATCGAACACAAAAAGCAAAGTAACTTAAAGCTAAGCGAAAATAAATCAATAAAATATTATAATTACCCCCTAATGGGCCTCAGCTTTACTTTTGCTGAGAGGAAATAAATGCTGATCACAGCTTCCGATTTCTATCTCGAATTTAGTATCTAAATATAACGTTTCATCATCAAATAGGAAATATTCATCTTCACAATTCAAGTTCATGCTAACTGCAAACCCAAGTACTTGGAAACAAGGAAAACGAAACCTAGGAAGGGAGATAACTCTTATAAAATTATGTAGTATGACAGCTAAAGCATGTAGACATCAACTATATAAAACGCGAGGATCAACTTTCCTAAAATTTCTCATCAAATCTTGACCAGATGTCATCGCGGGACAATCACTAATATATATGTTGTTGTCTTCATTAAACATCGGTAAGACAGGCCCTTGTGTGCGAAATATAAGAAACACCCCGGTTTACAACGCGGAAAAAATAACAATTTATGACAATGTACATTTAAGCGAGTAGGGAAGTATTTTACTTAGATAAGTATAGCATTACGTTTTCTTAGGAGGGATACATGGGAAAATCTTCATTACAATATCATTCATATATATGTATGAACATTATTTATTTTAGAAATATCTAAAATCAATATAACTTTTAATTTTTATATAACATTTTCTTTGCTATTTCTTTTCAACAAATCAGTCCTCCCTGTTTTATAAATGTTTAAAGCGTCCTATTGATCATTTCAATGGTCAGTAGAAATACTTATAGAAAATCTTATGATTTTTAAACGAAATCAATAAAAGTAAACAGTGAAACGTATACGTATATCGCGGTTTGAATTTGTATTGCATGTTTTGCCTTTTAAAAAAATAGGTGAAAATCAAAACAATTTAATAAGTAGGAGATACTATGTGTTTACCTACCTATGCATGTTGTAACACGTTATCCCAAAAGGCCTCTGTTTTGCCATGTATGTGTATGTAGCTATAGCCGCCATTGTATCTCATCGGCTCGTTTTCTAGTATTTGTTAAAAATAGGCAGATTTCTACTGATAATGTGTGATACAGCTGTCGTTGGAAAGTTCTTGTTCTATAGCTGACCACTAGTGCTGATTAATTTGGTGGTATCTGTGTGTTATAGGATGATGAGGTATCAATGATACGTGTCAGTATACAGTGAATAAGACAGCAGGCACAAAATCCAACTTCGATTTTTCTATATTTTGGATTATTACCATTCAAAGATGCCGGGATTTACGGTGAGTCTGATTTGATTTTTCCTTATATACGTATTCTGATAAGTAGTGGGAAACCCAGTATTATAGATTGATCTATAAATAATTATGTCATCATTCCACAGGTTTATACATGTATATCCGATGCATGCAGCCATCTTGAATTATATCTTAAAGACGTACACGCCCCTGTTACACAACGTTACATTGCAGCTTCTCACTATACTGAACGATATGCATAAGAAAATGTCAAAATCTGTTCATTTTTCACAATTTTGTTTCTCATCAATTACATAAGTTGTAAGATGAATGGTTGATATGTTATTATTTGGCCTTGTACCCTGTATCTTATAGAGGATTTGATAATCAATCGAATAAGACAAACACGTTACAACCAGTCATATTACTACGGCGTCGAATGTTCGGAGCATTCAGTCACCATTTTCATTTACAATGGTGCTAGGCTACGCTTCAGTGATCGATAACGTTGAGTTGTTATTTAGTTGTGTTTGCACGTGTGAGTCGGTGTGTTTCACGTGCATCATACATTGTGTTAATTAATCACAACATGCCATCCTATTTGTGATCTATGTGAACAAAGGAAAGTGTAGATGTCCACACGTCATTAGTTTCACTATTAATGCGGCGTAATGGCTTGTTCATAAAAAAAAAGTTGAAAAAATTGAAAAGTAAAAATCAACATATCTTTTTTATTTTCATTCTAGTAATGGTAACATGACGAATACTTAAATTAAGAAAGACTAATATATATATATGTTTAATATATATTGTAATATATAGATAGTATATACATAGGTGTATGACCTACTGGAAGAGTAAGAAGGTATAGTTACGGCTATTAACAATAGTACATTGGTTTTGTTTCGCTAGGTACTGCATGTCGCACCAACCAATAGTCAGAGTGACAATTTGGTGTCGAAAAGATATAAATATTTTTAAAAGGGGATCTTCGTGTAATGTTTGACATTAGTCCGTTATTTATTTGCGTCAATTTGACAACTTCCTGTTTTTACGTCGAAGGAAATGCCCGAGTATATCCTATACGCATCACCTACTTCACTTGCTTTAGATTTTTTTTGTTTTACTATACATATTTTACGTAAAAAATCACCTAATAACTCAATGTTTATGAAAAACAGTACCGTCAAACATCTGTTTTAGGGGAAACAGTACCGTCAAACACGTTTTATGTGAGCAGCACCGTCAGTTATTAGTTGCATAAAAAGCGGAATGAAAACATATTAGTCTACGTTTGTGCATATTTTCAAGCCCAGAACACTTTTTAAACAGTGAAGATTCATAATTTTGGGTATGGGACTGTTTTATATGTCAAGTGTCTTTTTGAGAAAGAGAATTCTTAACACTACGCTCATTGAGGCTGTATCTGGTGTCAGGAAAAATGAAGAAACTGTAGTACAGTTGAATCCACACTGATATGATATTGCCAAGCAAATTTAACACTAGGACAGGAATGGTAATCTCAAAATGAGCAATTCATTAGAGGCACAAGAAAATAAAAAAGATAGGAAAAAGATTGTCAACTAAAGGGACAGAACTCCAACTCATATGGATAGGGACTGAACAATTCCTGGTCCTTACGGTTGTCAAGCTCATCACTAGAATGAAACGAAAGGAAGTTAGTATGGGATATCAGAATATAATGGGTATGACAGCCGAATGACATCTCGTCAATACTGATATTGTTTGTTAAAATATCTTTATTCTCGTGTTAAAATATTCAATATTCCCCTTATTTCTTATAGCATACTTACTTAAAGTGTATCATGCGTACACGGTAACCAGTATATCTATGCTTTTCAGTCCAATTAAATACAATTATATTAAAAAAAACAGTATATAATGCTGTAATGAAATATGAAGAGTACAATCTAAAGGAACGTATGAAGTTTGATGATGGTTTTACAAGGTTTAGAGAAATACATAACCAACCCAAACCTAGTATCTTATGGAAGTTAGCAATTCGATTTCCTCAATACAGAAAATATATACATTACATAATGAAAATAGTGGTAACCATTCGTAGCTTGACTACCATGGAATTATGTCACAAATGTGGGTTTCTATATCAAGACCCTATGCCACATCTAGTGCTACAGTGTATTTATACTTCCGAGTTGAGGGACCAACTGTGGTGCTGTATAATTAATACCACAGATATACTGTTTAGTGTTTATTTACACTCTCTCCCATACCTTCAGTTATTACATATATTGATTGGAGGAAATGTAAACTATCAAATTAGTGCAGAAGAGCTGATTGAATTCAGGATAAAATCCTGTATTTGTGTGTTCAAGATGTGTAAACTATATTATAATTAATATATATAATGATAAGGATAACAAATAGTCCATGTACATTTTGTAGGAGTCATGTGACTTAACAATTCATTATAATTTACCTGATTTGTGTCAGAAAATTGTATTTTGAAACTCTTTGGGTATACCTTAAAATACCCCCTTTCGCTTAATTTGCACTTGATATGCCTACTCCTAAAGCATAAAGTGTGTATCTATGTTATTCGTATTCTGTAATCATTTATATATGTATCGTACGCTTTGTATATATGTTCAACATTCTTCTGTAATCTTCATCTCTGGAGGCAATAAAGAGAATAATACATCGTATAACCACTTAAGGACAGGTTGACACCGCTGTATATACCACTTAAGGACAGGTTGACTTCCCTATGTAACGGAGCTGAGACAGCTTTGTATAAGCAAGAACTTTTATTTATACTAAAGTCTGACGATATTATTGATTTACACATGTTGTCCGTGTTGGGACATATTTAATGACATGTACTATTCTGTCAGGTTGGTTTGTCCTGAAAAACTGCAATTAAGTTATCAGCCCTAATCGAATTCACACGGTTGCACTCTCTTAATAGGGTCACGTGAGCATTGTAAACGCGCTACAGTGGTATGAACGCTAGAGCGCCTGTACTCAGTCGATACAAACCATAAACCAAGCTCCCTCTTGTCATCTTTTGGACATTTCCATCTAATTGAACACCATCTGCCCCCAACCCTTTTATAAACATACAAACACCATCACACACACTTTGTGAGCTCCCTTTAATTGACTCAGAAGGATTAACCCGAGTTGATATAGGTATACCATAATCATTATGACATAGATCAAACTTATTCCTGGAGGGTATTGCTTGCGAAAGTTGGGTCGAGGGTCATACAGATTAATGTCTCTTTGATGATTTTATGATACCCCGCCAATATAAAGGCTATATCAATATACCCTACACTATAGTATATATGCTTATGTATTTGGACAATGCAGATAATCGTATTCTCATGTCGGCGAGTCGGGCGTTCATCTACATAGACATATGATTCTTTATTTTACAGCTTTTGAGACAGGCTACCTTTTTTGGGAGTCCCTTTGTATAAGTATTTCTTTTCTTTGACGAAGTCCAGCGATTGTATGGTACGAATATAGTTTTTTCCCAAAAAATCTGATAATTCAAGGTTTTGATCCACGCTGTTAACGTTTAATGGGTGCATCCTTACAATAGGATAAAGTTCTATAGATGTTGTTTTATACATCTATAGAAAGTTGTTATCCACACACTCTGAAGAAAACAATATTTTTCCATTTGTAAGAAGCGACAGATTCACAATAATGGTTTGTTCGTGCGTTTTCAGTTGAACGTTTAAACTCTTATATTTACTGTGTTTAGGCATTGTTCAAGTTGTTGTAGCCATAACACTCTATTACTATTTTGAGTTACCATGGTTACTCGTTTTTATATACCCAATATAGAATATATTGATCCGAAACTATGTGGAATAAACTGCAAGTTACAGTGTTGGTTGTCAGAAATATGTGCAAGTGCAATAGAATATGCATGTACATATACAATATCTGTCAGTTCATTGTAGCTCGAATGGACACATCGAAAGGGAAGTTTGATCCCTAAATGTATATAAAACAACAGAGGATACACTGTATGTCTGGCTGGACGATTCGGTTATTTTTTTACCAACAGTGGAAGAGCACTGTGAGCTAAAACCGAATCGAGATGGACCTCCCTATATTGGCAATATCACTGCAACGGTTATATGCTAACTAGGCTATATCTTTCCTGCAATGCCCCAATTACTAGCACAAAGGTTTCAAGCGTTTCTACGAGGAGTAGATCGCGTATTTATAAAATAAATGAAATATCGCACTGATATTGGGAGAAACCTAGCTTCATTCAGTGCTTCGACATGAATAATTTTTTACTCGAGTCTTAAATTAGAACACGTGTAATTTTTACTTATAACATTTTCTCACAAGTGCTTCGTCGTCATGGATCAAGGCCTAAGTGGGACACAGCTAAAATTACCAGCGGCTTAACTGAGAAATATTCTGATCACCAGCTACAAGTTATCCGATTATCATCTGACATTCATAAAAAGTTATATAAGTCTGTATGTGTTTAATTTCCAATTCTTTACATGATTTAACATTACAGAAATATATATAGTTTATAGGACTGTAAATGACATTAATCGTGCGTCATAATTGTAGCCATAGAAACGTTCACAGTGCAGTCGGTTTACTGGTTTCATTTACGAAACTTGTCAGTAACGAATAAATAATTTTCGTGTAGGTCGAATTACAACCGGCAGTAGATAAAGAACATGTAAGGAAAATAATGTAAGTGTTATGTATGACATTTCATAACCGGTATAAAAGACACAATTTTCAGACAAACACGAAATATATGTACCATGAATCGGCAATAGTAAATCTTACATTTAATCATCATATGTCGTGTATAGCTTGCGTGCTGTGAATATTCACACAGAATCAAAACATGGTTGATAAGCTGCAGTTCTCCACGGGTGAGTTTAAGGTATTCGTTTACTTATCTGCCGCCGTTTAACCTTAGAACACACAGTGCTTCTTTCATGATTATTTTATACAAGAGTAAGCCTGTGTATATACCAGGCGTTGTATTACATCCGTCAGCTCTTCGT